AAGGTATAAAACGAAGGATGAACAAGCACTGCAAATATTAGCAACAAGTTGGAGACAAAACTTTAAGAAAATGTGCAAATATTTACTTCAAACTACTCTGAGTTGGTTCTTAAATCTTTGCTTTTATATGTAACTGCTAAAAATTGTAACCGTTACACATTTTTGTCACAGTTTAGTCCCAAAGTGTCTCTTTGTCTCAGTTTGATCAGAATGCCATCTTTTGGTCTTCGATCAGTCTTAATTTGGTTTCAGATATCACCAGTTCCCTCTAAAGTTGTCTAAACTGAAAACCCTGCAGACAAAAATTGTCTCCAGTGAGTTACCACCCTAAGCTACATATTAATGCTTTGTGCTTATTTTTGTAATTGTTTTGTATTAATTTTGACATTTTTTCTGTACTAAACATGACTCAGAGATCGTCTACCAAAGTTTTGGGGTAAATTAATAAAGCTCTGGAAATAAAAAAAAAAGACTTTGGGTTTTATAAAAGTACTCAAACTTGTGTCTCTAGAGCTAGTTGATGCCACCAGGAGTCAGCAGGGCCGTGGACCCTCCCTCGTCTTACATAGCACCTGACCTTGATGGTCCTCCCCGCAGTTGATGGCCCCACCTGGAGGACGCCTCATGCCTCTCTTTTGGGCTTGACCTGACCCAACAGGAACCCCCCACCAGGTCTGGATCTAGGGAGGCTTTCAGGTTCCTGTTACTTTAGTTGTTTATCCATCAGGGCTCTGAAATCATTCATGGTTTGATCCCTCCCCTGAGACTTGTTTGCTAGGGGAGACCCTGCCATGGGCTTATGCCTCAGACAACTTAGCCTCAGGATCATGAGAGGGTGTTCAACACCCTCCACCACCTTAAGGTGACAGTTGTGTGGATGATGCCTCTTGGACACCTTCCTTGGGAAATTATCTGGACATGCTACAATGAGAAAAGGCCCGGGGGCAGACCCAGAACTCACTTAAGGGATTATACATCTTTGCCGGCCTGGGAGCATCTTGGGGTCTCGCCAAGAAGGAGCTGGAGAGTGTCACTGGTGGGAGGGAGGTCTGGGTTTCCCTCCTGGACCTGCTGCCTCCACGACCCAACTACGAATAAGTGGTAGAAAGTTGAGATGGACTAAAACGTGTTTTTAGAAAAAGCTAATTGAATCATAACATTTAAAACAGTGTTATGGTGAAGAGGGAGGTGAGCTGTAAGCCAAAGCTCTGTTTACTGGTCACTCTACGTTCCTACACCTATGGTCATGAACTCTGGGTAGTGACTGAAAGAATAAGATCGTGGCTACAGGCCGTCAAAATGCGTTTCCTCTGCTGGAGGTAGGGTGAGAAGTTCAAACCCCAAATAGTCCATGCTCAATAATCCAGGTGTGCAATCCAACAATTTTCAGTCAGGTCATCTGGACAGTTTCTTTTTTTTGTTGAAAGTGAAACATTTCAGAAAAAAAAAAAAACTGTCCAGATGAGCTGACTGAAATATGTTGGGGTGAGAAGTTCTGTTATCAGGAGAGACTCAGAGTAGAACCGCTGCTCCTCCACATCGAGAGGAGCCAGTTGAGGTGGTTCGAGCATCTAGTAAGGATGCTTCCTGGGTGCCTCCTTAGGGAGGTGCTTCGGGCATGTCTGACTGGGAGGAGACACAGGACACGCTGGAGAGACTGCATCTCTCGGTTGGCCTGGGAACACCTTGGAGTCCTCCCTGAAGAGGTGACTGTGGAAAGAGATGTCTGGACGTCCCTGATCAAGCTGCTGCCCCCGAGACCTGACATCGAAATAAGCGGAAGATGATGGATGGATGGATGGATGGATGGATGGATGGATGGATGGATGGAT